TTGTAACTCCTCTGTACAGCATGTTCACAAATAAAATAAAATTAAAAAAGTATATAGTATTGCCTAATTTCAGTACCTTTTTCTCTAGACATTCTGCAAATTTCAGTTGTTTCAGTAGTTTCTTCTGTTTGTTGCTAAACCGATTGTCCTGTTCTGCACTTGTCCCCTGCAGAAAGACAACAGTGCAAGGATTCAAAGTTAAATTCCTTTATCACCTTTACAGGGCAATGAAGTATACAGAAAAACCATAACTAAGATTCAGATACAAGATGCATACATTTTCCACAATGTAACTAAATGACACTATTGACTTAAAAATCATTATATGCCCGTAACAAGGCAAATACAATATAGCAATATACAGTATAAAGCTGACACTTTCCCCTTAAGTTTGATTTGTATTCTTTTACTACTTTACTATGCTAAGAGATAAGAAACACTTTTCTATTTATATTGAAGTTTCATCCTTTTCTGAAAGCTAGTATGCTTCCAAAATTATTGTAGCACTGCATAGAAGCCCCGTAAAAAGCAATAAAGAACCTGGAAATGGTATTGTGTTAATTTACTATAACTTTCAAGAATTTGAAATACAAGTTTACCTTACTTAACAAAATGTCAGCGAAGAATAAGGAAAATTAGAGCTTACAAATATACTAGATCATCAATAACCACTAAATGTATTATCCTTATTTGCCTAAATATGGAAATAACTGGCTGTGTGACCTGAAATCTAACTGGTGATCAAGAAAATACTATTTGGAAAGGAAAAAACCTGAATTATCCTGTAGCCATGCCACTATATACTTGTGTGCTCTCAGAGCAAATCACCTAACTTCTGAGAATGTTTCCTCACTTGAAAGAATAGGAATAATGAAGCCAGGAGCCTGTGGCTCAAGTGTGTAATCCTATCTACTCAGGAGGCTCAGATTTGAGGATCATGGTTCAAAGCCAGCCTGGGCAGAAAAACCTCTTTTTTTTGTTTTTGGTCAGTCATGGGGCCTGAACTCTGGGCCTGGGTGCTGTCCCCTCAGCTCTTCAGCTGAAGGCTAGTACTCTACCACTTGAGTGTCAGCCCCACTTCTGGCTTTTTCTGCTTATGTGGTACTGAGGAATAGAACCCAGGGCCTTATGCATGCAAGGCAAGCGCTCTATCACTGAGCCACCTTCTCAGCCCCTCCTGTGAGACTCTTATCTCCAATTAAGTATCAAAAAAATTCTAAGTGGACCTGTGGCTCTAGTGGTAGAGCACTAGCCTTGAGCACAAAAACTCAGGGACAGAACCTAGACCCTGAGTTCAAGCCCCAAAAATGACACCAAGGGAGATGGAGGGAGGAAACAAATGTCTGTGGAGCTAAGTCAATTACCCTGACCCAATCTTCACTTATTTTATACATGTGTTCAAATGCCTCACTGTACCCTATAAACATGTAGAATTACATACAAGTAAAAATATAAGTATATATTAAGAATAAAATATTAAGCCAGGCATGGTGGTGCATAGTTAGAATTCCATCTACTTGGGCCTCAAGTTAAGAGACAACCTGGACAAAGTTGGGGAGACCCTATCTCAAAAACAAAAGGGCTGGAGATGGTCTAATGTGGTAGAACACTTGTCTAGCATGCATAAGGCTCTAGATTCAATCCCCAATATCACAAGAAAGACTAATTTTAAGCCGGGCACCAGTGGCTCATGCCTGTAATTCTAGCTACTCAGGAGGCTGAGATCTGAAGACCACGGTTCAAAGCCAGCCAGGAAAAGTCCATGATACTCTGATCTCCAATTAACCCCCAGAAAACCGGAAGTGGAGCTATGGCTCAAATGATAGAGCACTAGATTTGAGCTGAAGAGCTGAGGGACAGCGCCCAGGCTCTGAGTACAAGCCCCACAGCCAACCAAAAGAAAAGAAAAAGCTGTGGCTCAAGTGGTAGGGCGCTAGCCTTGAGCTGAAGAGTTGAGGGAGTGCCCAGTCCCAGAGTTCAGCCCCCATGACAAAAAAAAAGAAAAAAGAAAAAAAGTGTATGTCAAAGATGTCACACGTGAAAGTTGTTCAGTAAAAACATGATTTAAACATTTCTCAAAATATTCAGTGCTAGACAACTGCTCCTAAAAAAAAAAGTATTTTTTGGTCAGTCATGGGGCTTGAACTCCAGGCCAGTCACTTGAGTTCTTCAGCTCAAGGCTAGTGCTCTACCCTTGAGTCACAGTGCCACTTCCAGTTTTCTGGTGGTTAACTGGAGATAAGTCTCACCGACTTTCTTGCCCAGGCTGGCTTTGAACCACAATCCTCAGATCTCAGCCTTGAGTAGCTAAGATTACAGTCATGAGGCACTGGTGCCCAGCTTCTAAAATCTTTTAACTCAGTGCTTAGTTACAGTTTAACTCCTAAATTTAGGGATTTATAGGAATGTATATATAACACAACTCTACGTATTGTATTTAACATATACACTATTACTTTTTCAGCAGCTTCAAAGACAACTGTCATCTTAAAATTTGCAAGTCAACCTCATTTTGATTTCAATGGAATTCTATTCCACTAGAAGTACTACTTGACAGGGTCAAAGTAAACCTTTATTTGCTTCAAAATGTTATACAATATCCAGTAAAAATGTATCCATTAAAAAATCAGATGCAAAGTTACAAGTTGACAGCTCATTAGCAGTGTTCGAATTTGACAAGCTCATGTGAAACTACCATTCAGTTGCTTGCCTGACCTGAGAACAGTTAAACAATTGGTTAGGTGCCTTAGGTCACATGCTTGGGCCAACACTGAAACAGCTGATGAAAATCTAGTTGGCAGTTTTATTTTGTTTATTGGAAATACTGCACTTTACATGTTAGGTTAGTGCTCTAAATGCCGGCCTTCTTCCCTCTTCCAATTTTCCATTTAAACACTCACACACTGCAAATGCTCCAGGGGGTGTAAAGTCAACCTGTATTACAATAGGGCGAGAAGCTGGCTTTGACCAAGTGGTCCCTCGGCGGTCTACTCAGCATTGACAATTTACCAACCCTTGTACCTAACTTTAATCCTACAAGTGTCCCTCCCTCCCTATCTAGAATCTGGACCGGAAGCTCATTTCCCAGTAAACGCTTAAGTTCGGGCCCCGAAGACCAGGCAACTTCCCTGCTTACGTTACAGAGCGCCTAAGATAGAATACTTCTAGAGCCATTGAGCTCCAAGAGTTAAAAAGAAAAAGAAAAAAAAGGGGGGGGGTGGAGGTGCGGGAAGAAATGGGTTCACTTCGTGTCACCCTCGGCCTCTCACCAGAGCCTTCGATTCAAACGTCCCGACCACACACAAATTATCCGAGTTCCCCTCCCCGGAGGGATAGCGAATTGGGCGGGAGCGCTCGTGAACTCTGACCCGGCGTTCGGGCGAAGGCTCACGGGGAGGGGGAGGGGGCGCTTTTTACAAAAGAAAACCTCGGAGAGGTCCCCCTTCGCGGGACGCCCTCCCGGGGGGTACCCCCACACAGGGCCCCCCGAGGCTCCCCGCCGTCAGGAGTCGCCTCGGGCTCCCCCGCGGCCTCCCTTCGGGGACTTCCTCCTCAGGGCTCCGCTAGGCCCGGGGACCCCGCGGCAAGCGCGGCGCTCGGCCCGCGGGCCTCGCCGGACCCTCAGCCAGGTACCACTCCGGCCCACTCCCGCCGCCATTTTCCTGCCGCCGCGCCGGGGGGACGATCCCGGAGGAGGAGACTGCGCAGGGGCGCACCGGTCTCCTCACAACGCGCCGGGGGGGGGCGTCGGTCCCCACCGGGGAGCCTCGGAACCACGCAGGCCTCCCTCCACCGACCACGGTGTCCTGAGTCGAGTCTTCCTGCCGGGCCTCCCCGAGAACCCCTTCACCTCAACCTCAGAGCCCCGCGCTTGTACTTACGCGGAAGAATCCCGCGTCCATCTTGCTGCCTCGCTCAGAGATCGCTCCTTATCCCAGGGTGCACCGCGCCGCCGCGACGGAGGGCGGGACCAGCGGAAAAGAGTCGAGGGCCGAGACGCTGCGCGCGCGCGCGCGCACCGCTGCACCCGCCTCGTCCAGCCGACACGAAGCCGCGTCTGCTCAGTGAGCCCGGGGCGCTCCACGCGTGCGCACTTGCTTCTGGGAAGGCAGGCCCTTGGGGAGCCTCCGCTCTCAGGAGCCAATAGGAAGAGAGATCCCGGAGATCACAGGCGATGGGATTAGAAGGGAGTGCCGTAAAATAGCCCCGCCCTCCAGATCCTTTTGTGGCGCGTGACCCACCTCGTTCGCTCAACGTGAGTTGACCCATCGTGGGATCCGTAGTGAGGGAAGTTTTCCCCCCCCCCCGCCCCACCTCCGCCTCCCTCCCGGCCTCAGGGCGGCGAAGAGCGGTTGTAGGGAAAGACGGTGCCCTGCGGCGACGCCGGCGGCGCCCGCGCGACCTGACGTCTCGCCGGTCGTTGTGGAAGTTGTGGTCAGGGGAGGCTTTACGAGCCTGCCAGTTACCAGGATTGGCGCTAGAGGAGCAGAGCTTTGCAGTCGGACAGTAAAATCCGCATCCAGCCCAACGGGCTGGGCCGGAATCCGAAGGCGTCCATTAGGAGAGGCCGGGCTTGGGCCGCCGGCGAGGAACCGCGGTCCGCGGCCGCAGGCCGGGGCGGAGCCCGCGCACGAGTCCTCGCGCAGTCCTTCCCGGGCCACCATGCCAAGTTCCCTCCTGCACGGACGTTGGCTTCCTGCCTCGGCACCTAGATAGATGGCGTGTTGGCTCTCGAAACTTCTACCGGCCATGTGCTGAGACATGCTGGCGGACATCGATCGCCGGCCCAGACTTGGCTCCAGAAATTTAAACCTCATTGGTTAATGGAATAATGGAATATAATACATAATAGGATGTACATATGTATGTTTATATGTATCTACTACCTGGAGGGGCGAAAAGGCCATTGCCAGGCTGCCTCTTCCATTTGCAGACGTCATATGATCAGACTGATCGGCCAGCCTTCCCCTCATCCCCTCCACACCGAACACAAAAGCCCTAGCTCCTCCCAAAGTTTCCCTGAGGCCCAAGCAGTGAGAACTCTGTCTCTGTCTCTCTGTCCCTCTCTCTCTTTTTCTCTCTCTCTCCCGTTCTTTCTAGGCTGCCTGTTAACTCTTGTCCTTCCTACTTCCAAGCCGTTGAGAAACCCATTATGCCAGAATGGAAGTTCAAGGCGCCCTTAACCTGAACTTCGGCTCCACTCTCCTCGTCTGGTCTTCCAGTTTCTTCCCTTTCCACTCAGCATTTGTTCTGAAGATTAAGGCTGGATACAGGTGTCTCATGCCTGTAATCCTAGCTACTCGGGAAGCAATGATCTAAGGATCCCATTTGTAACTGGCTGGGGGCAGGAAAGTCCGGGAGACTCATCTCCACTGGAAGTGGGGCTGTGGCTCAAAATGGTAAAGTGCCAGCCTTGAGCAAAAGAGCTCAGGGACAGCACCAAGCCTCAGTGCACGCACGCGCGCACACACACACAACACACACACACACACCGGAAAAAGATAAGGAGTTAGGATGTAAAGGGTGTGTGGACTGTCCTCCAATGTGGCTGGCCCTCTACCACTTGAACCACAGCTCCACTTCCTTTTTTTTTTTTTTTGGTTATTTGGAGATAAGAGTCTCATGGACTTTTTCTGCCCAGGCTGGCTTTGAATCATGATCCTCAGATCTCAGCCTCCTAAGTAGCTAGGATTACAGGCATGAGCCACCAGTGCCCAGGTTGTTTCACTTATTTTAATATTATCTGTTCTGCTCACCATACTAGGATATATAAGCTGCCCAAGGTCAGGGTTTTGTTGAGTTTTGTTCACTAGTGTATTCCCGCTACCTACCTACAACCTATAATACAGGCTCTACAAAATTGTGTTGAATGAGGCTCACCTATAATGCCAGCTACAGAGGCTGGTGGGTTATGAATAAGTACAAGGCCAGTCCCAGCAATCCTTGACACAATGAGTGCTATCTCAAAAACCAAGTACAAAAAACAAGAACAAAACAACCCCAAATACAAACAAGGGTAGAGGGTGTGGTTCAAGTGGTAGAGAATATTACTTGCACTTAGAGAAAGAGAAGTAGACTGTTATGGGGTGGTAGCTAATAGGAGGAGGATGAACTAACAAGGATGAAGGAGTTTGAATATTGTTGAAATAGATTATTTCCAACTATGAAAATAAAACATTGCTTGGGAAAGGAGGGCAGGGAAGGAGATAAGGGGGAGTGAGATTGATTGGGATACATTGTAAATGTGTGTGTGGAACAGTATACATTATCATATTATACATTATCTAGCGGTGGTGGTCTGGGGTATACTGGGGCTTGAAATCAGAGTTGTTAGGATGGTAGTCTACAACTGGAACCATACCTCCAGCCTGTTTTGGCTAGTTATTTGCTTGCAAGGCAAGCACTCTACCACTGAGCCAACCTCCCAGCCCTGTAAGACTCTTTTTTTTTTTTTTGTCGGTCGTGGGGCTTGAACTCTGGGCCTGGGCGCTGTCCCTCAGCTCTTCAGCTCAAGGCGAGCGCTCTACCACTTGAGCTACAGCGCCACTTCCGGTTTTCTGGTGGTTTATTGGAGATAGGAGTCTCACGGTCTCTCCTGCCCGCGCTGGCTTTGAACTGTGATCCTCAGATCTCAGCCTCCTGAGTAGCTAGGATTACAGGCGTGAGCCACTAGCGCCCGGCTTCTGTAAGACTCTTATCTTCAAGTAACCACCAGAAAACCAGAAATGGCACTGTGGCTCAAGTGGCAGAGCACTAGCTTTGAACTGAAGAGCTGAAGGACAGTGACCAGGCCCAGAGTACAAGCCCACAACTGACAAAAAAGGAAAGAAAGAAAGGAAGGAAGGAAGGAAGGGAGGGAAAGAAAAGACCATATGAAAGCAGCCTAGGGGGTTCTGTCTCACACTTTTCTAGTATTAATCACTAGATGGCGATCTACTCTCTCAGGATAATGTACTAGCAATAAATAACAATGGCACATGGTTATTGGTTTGATTGGCTGTCTTCAGTGAGCCCTTACTGTGTGTTCTTAGATAGTGAGGGACACAAAGGATGAGTAGGACAGGCCTTGGAGAGTTCATGGGGAGCTGGAGGATGTCACTGCAAGCATTCAAGATCAATGTAACAATCTTTTTGCTTTTGTGCCAATTCAAAGACCTCCAGAGATGTGCTGTTCAGACATGGCAATTTTCAAAGAAGAGCTGGAGGAACAAGAGTAGTACACACTGCATGGGGCAGGGGAGCCACTGCTGGAAGTTTTTTGTTTTTTGGGTCTGGTCGTGGGGCCTGGGCGCTGTCCCTCAGCTCTTCAGCTCAAGGCTAGCACCCTACCACTTGAGCCACAGTGCCACGTCCGGCTTTTTTCTTTTTGCTTCTGTGGTGCTGAGGAATTGAACCCAGGGCTTCATGCAGCAAGCGCTCTACCACTGAGCCACCTTCCCAGCCCATGGAAGTTTTTTTTTTTTTTTTGTCTTTTCTTTTTTGGTACTGGGGATCTAACCCAGGACATTGCACTTGCTAGGCAAGTGCTTTGCCACTGAGCTACATCCCAGCCCCCACGGAAGTTTTTATTTCTATATTCTGTCTGGATTTACATTACTTATATTTTTCCAATGTCATCCTTTGCTGTGGATTTTTTTTTTTGTAGGGAGAAGGATTCCTCGTACTGGGGCTTGAACTCAGGGCCTTGCATTCTCCCTTGGTGTTTTTGCTCAGGGCTGGCATTCTGCCACTTGAACCACACCTCCATTTCCAGCTATTTGCTGATAACAGTGATCCTTGGATCTCAGCCTCCTGAGCCACCAGTAGTGTTTGGCATCTATAGGATCTTTTTCTTTCCTTCCTTCCTTCCTTCCTAACTTCCTTCCTCCCTTCTTCCCTTCCTCCCTCCCTCCCTCCCTCCTTTCTTTCTTTCTTTTCTTTCTTTCTTTCTTTCTGTTGGTCTTGGGCTTGAACTCAGGACCTGGGGGCTGTTGCTGAGCTTTTTTGTGCTCAAGGCTAGGGCTATACCACTTGAGCCACAGCACCACTTTCAACTTTTTCTGAGTAGTTTACTGGAGATATCTTACAGACTTTCCTGACAGGGTTGGCTTTGAACCACAATCCTCAGCTCTCAGCTTCCCAAGTAGGTAGGATTACAGGCATGAGTCTTTGGCACACTGCTTATAGGATCTTAAAACAGCAGTCATTACCATTTTAGTTGACATATTACACACAGCTTTATATTAATGCTTTAACTAAGTGGTTAAATTGATCCTTATAAAATAATAACTAGAAGATTAAGGGCTGAATTATGCTCTTCCATTCCTATTCTGAAATCCTAACCTGTAGGACCTCTGAATGTGACTGGAGATGGGGTCGTTAAAGAGGATGTGAGGTAGGCCTCTGCAATAGGATTCCTTACAAGGGGAAATTCAGATACAGACAGGTACCGAGGGAAGACCATATGCAGACAGAGAAGACAGCCTTCGACAGGCCCAGGGGAGTATCTTTACTCTTGGATTTCTAGCCTCTAGCATTGTGAGGAAATAAATTTCAGTTATGTTGTAGCTGCCAGAGCAAACTCATATATAGATGTCATCCTATGTGGTCATGGTTGCCTGAAAAATCATACAGCCGGCCAACAGCACAACTTACCTTCTGCTTCTGTTGATCACGTTACATTTGACAATATTAGTACATGAGGGTTAAACAGTGGGAAAAAAAATCTGCCAATCATCCTATGGCCAATGAGCATTCCTCAGTCTGGTCAGTCTCCAAGACCAGGTGAGAGGAAGGGACAGAGAGGTTACAACACACACACACACACACACACACACACACACTGCTTACTCCCATTGCCTTACAGAACAAACACTGGAAAGCTGGAAGAAAAATGAATAAATTGAATGGTGGTTCTGAGATCCATGAAGACAGGGCCGCATTCTGTAAGAACACTGGAGAGAAGCTGGTGTGGGAAAGCACA